CAAAAGCCTTTAGCTTTTCTGTTATAACCACCGAGACTGTAGGTCGCGCCAAGGAGATATTTAAGTCCCACACACCGCTAATAGGAACCTTCTGCCAAAAACACGCAGTTTGGCTGCAAGTTGAAGCACAGGTGGGATAGAAAACCCATCTAACTTGTCTTCAATGTCATCTAGCACTAAGGTTTTTTTGTTAAGACGTAATGGGTCTATGAATCTACATAAAAACAAAACTTGTATCAGCAAATGTATAAGTAGAATGTAAATTGCTCCACTGGATTGCTCTTATCCCAAACAATTTTGCGCTTTATTTTCTGGATTATTTCTCGATATCCTTCTATCATCAAAAATACTATCTCTGCCGAAGTCAGTGGTTTTTTGCACAAGTGTGATGACAGCTGATTCGAATAAAACCGATATATCTTCGAAAAAAGCCAAATCAAGTCGGTTTCATAACACCATTTCAAACAGATATTGATTTTCAATTCCGATAAATAGTAAATAATAAAATTGATTTGTCATATATAGAAAAGGTGAAGGTTGAAGTCTCTTGGATTAAAAATCTGATATCCTAACAAAGCGGTCGTATAGAAACTATATGATATAGTCGACCGATCTGGCCGGTTCCGACAAATTAACAATACAGTATAAATGTGCATCTGCTTAACTATTTTATTTAAAAAAAAAACGAGGGAGTAGTTCGTGTTCAGACGAACAGACAGTCAGTCAGACGGACATGACACATCCACTTAACCCATCATCCTGATCAGATCGGTATAAACTTATTTAGGTCCATCTCTCCTTCTCTTTAGAGTAATTGTAGACCTCGCACTAAAGCTAAGGAGTAAGACCGCTGTATATATTTAAAAAAAAAATATAAATATTCTGTTTATTAGCTTAACCAATCCATCGATCCGTGTAGAAAAAAGGACAAACTGTTTTAAACATGTCCGAAATGGATTTCATTGAAATTTTAAACCCTTTTACCGAGCGCTCCGGTATATGTTTTACACATGTATCTGAAAATTTTAAAAATCTTTTTTTCTCAAACACCGTTTTTTGAAGTATATTAAAAAAATATTTGTTTCAGTTCCAATATTGCACCCTGTGATCTGCGTGCCGAGGAGCTCTTGCCAGAACACATTACACATTACGGAAATGTTCTGCCATTGTGTAATATTTTTTATTGTAAATTTGTATTTTTCTTTTTTTTTGCTCACAGGGTACCTTCGGTCCTAGAAATGATATGCAATTGGTTTTAAAGGGGAAAAGATATTTCAAATAGCTGAACTTTTTATTTTGCTGCTGGACCTCAGAGCGCGTGCTGAGTACAATGAAAACTTGAAATGTGTTTCTTCAAAATCACATTTTGCAAACTGGGTGGAAGATTATTCGGACCCACTTGCATTGATTTATCTGAAATTTTGATGGTGGCTTCACAAATACTTTTTTTTGGAAGTACGTAGTCATTTATCGATTAAATGTAACCTTTTTTAAATAACTTAGTGCGAATTTTTTAGTCAAAAAACAATCTTTTAAAAAAAAAAGTGTGCCTCTTTGACAAGAATTAGTTAAAATACCATAGGCTGTAGATCATTCTCATCCCTTAGAAGAAATCGGTCCTCCCGTAGACACCTTCCAAAAAGCATGGATTAATAAATGGACTTTATCACCGATATTTAGTAACAAAATAATAATTAAAGAATATTTTTTATACTTCAATATATGTTCCATGCAATGGTTAAATAGAAAGTCCATACATTTTCCCATTATCCTACAATAAGTTTTTAAAATGTAGTCTATTTTTCAATCTCTAGAGTGGCTTACCCCTCAAATATGTATAAGATTAATAAGACCCGAAATCAATATAATAGCACTCCCATTCCTGCCGCAAAAAAAGCTCTTGAAGTCAGATGATTTTTGACGTTTACTTAATATACGATTTTACGAATAGGTAAAATTATGAAGAAGTTGAAAGAGATTAAAAATTTAAAGCGGAAAATTAATCTTTTATAGGTTAGACGTAAACAACAAACAGAATGCAACAAAGATTTTAATAAAATTTAAAGTGCAAAAAATAAATATTTAATAACCTCTATTTCTATCTAGTAGCCACAGCTTCACTGAAATGTCAAAAAGGAAAATACGAATTTTCTCTTTTTATGATAAATTTTTTATAAACAACTTTTGGTTTTATTCCTGAAAATCTGGAAATTTTCTGAAGCCGTCATTTTTACGTTCTTTTCATTTAAAGAAAGCTTCGAACAGCCTCTAGGGTATCTATTAGTTGTATTTTCAAGGACTTATAATGGTCACCGTAAGGCACTTTTTAAAGTTCGGGATCAACACGAACTGTCATAATTACATTATATTTTTTAACCGAGGTAACAACTTTAAAATTATTTTTAACCTGACGCTAGTTCCCAGAGAAGAATGGCAAAAAAACACCTAATTTAAAGGAGCGGGAACAAGTTTCGTATAACTTGAAGCCGATTATATATGTAATTAACACAGTTGTTTAACTTTAATTTTATGCAACTCCAGATATTTTGATGAAAAGTCGAATTTCTCATCATCTACAAAAGTTTAAACAGAAAGAACATGCTGTCTTTAACCATGCCGAGGTCTTTATATGTACCTTCCAGGACCATATTAAATTTTTGGTATTTCATTTTAGGATTAAATATTAATTCTCGTATCTGAATATATGGATAAATATTTTATTTTTTAAATACACATATTGACGGATCTGTGAATAAAAACCTCACATATGAATAAACCCTCAGATTTTAATGATTTTCCGTGACAAACTTTATTTGTAGTTACGAGTTTAATATCAAATTTCCTACTCTTGCGTGCTTTTTAGACGGAGTTTTGACCAATGCCACATTTCTGAAACTATCGGAGCTATATGTTATACAGATTTCTCTAATTTTTAGCATTAGTGTGCAGAATACAAAATTTAACGCTCTTGAGAAATTTATGACTTAATTATCATAGCTGTAAAATCGGTCGTATGTATACTGTAGTTGTCCGATCTGGTCGGTTCCGAGAAATCACCTTTAAAGGTATCCGTGCATCTGTATACCAAGTTTCTGACATACATTTTGATGGATCTATTATTTTCCTTCTGGTACTTACACACTTCGAACCAAAGTTAATATACCATTTTATGTACATGGAAGGTATAAAAAAAACTCAGTTAGATTTCAAGTATGATGAGTCACTTTATCAAATTACAACGTTTCTCCTCACTAGCCACAACAAAAAACATTTCTTAGCTTAAATGCCATTGTTTAAGGCAGGGCCATGAGCCCCACATCACAGATATTATCTATGCTGGCCCACTTAGCTTCATTACACATGACACTAAGACAATACCAAATTGATGAAGTAAGTATAAGAACTAACCTAAAGCTTGCCTAGTGCTCAGTAATATATACGAAATGTGACAATTAGGTAACGAGACTGATTCCAAAAAAACGGTACATTTCAAACATATTCTGCAACTCTGCCATCCCTTTAAAAATAGTTCTCTTGGGCAGCTACAAAATGATTCCAATGCGTTGTCCATGCTTCGTAACATTTCTGGAACGCTTCGACTGAGATGTCCGCGAGTACCCTCGTCACGGCTGCCTGGTTTTCCTCAATCGAGTCAAAATGGGTTCCTCTGACCACCGATTTTGTTCTGGGAAACAAAAAACCGAATAAGGCGGTTGTTGCAACACGGCGATCCCTTTAGAGACCAAATACTGGGGCACGCTGACGGCGGTGTGGCACGGCGCGTTGTAGTGATGAAGGTTCCACTTCCGATTTCTGGGCGCACCCGTTGACACGTTTTCGTTATCTTTCAAGTACTTGGCGATAGTAGACTTGATTTGAATTGTTTAACGTCGATCTTCACGAAATAGAGCGCGCACACGCTGCGCTTTTGTGGCAGTCCGCACCTCGACTGGTCTCCCGCTCCGCGCCTCGTGTTCCACGCTTCCACGCCCTTCCTTAAACTCTTTATGCCATCGAAACACCCGGGCACGATTAAGTCAATTATCACCATGCACTTTTACAATTTTAGCGTACGTTTCCGAAGCTGTTTTGTCCGATTTGGTGCAAAATTTTATCGCGATTTCCTTTTTCCATTTTCGTGACGAGCACCACGAACACACGTTTACTCAACACGACATGGCCGGCGAACTAAATAAGCTAGAGCGATAGCAAATATATCAATGAAGAGGAAGGGATGCCAGGAGAAGGGAATTTCAAGGTCACAGGGTTACCACAATCGCTGCTATATAATCAGTCTCATTACTTTATTGTCACAACTCGTACTTCAGGGCTTTCATGAAATGGCATTGCCGATTTTAGGTTATAGAGAAATCAATAAAGCGAATTAAAAGAACCCAGTGTTCAGTATTTCATTGATTTTTTTGTGAAAATTTAATAAAGCAATACTATGTTCGTTATATGCCTTTGAAGCTTCTGCAGGTATTTCACTATGCATTTCAAACATTCATCTTTGTTTTCCATTTTTTCAGGTTCATAGCGCAAGGTATACAAAAATGAGCGAAAGCGGCTTTTCAGGCACTCAACAATGGTGTAGCGGCTCGACTAGAGCAAGTATTTTTCATTGACGTAAATCTCACTAAATTCAATAAAATCGTACATTGCTCAAAAATAAAGTCCGTTAGACGGTTCACTGCAGAGATTTTTGGCAGAGTTTTAGCTTCTACTAAAGTGTTCTCCTGAACATTAATTGTATTATTATTATTGTATGTACAATTGTCTGTACATTAAGTATATGTATCGTCAAGCGTCCAGCAGTTGCTGAGATATAGGTTGGAATTCAAGAGCTTTCATTTTATGGCGATTAAACCTTTAACTAAACAAACTTAATAAAAAAAACTAAAATAATAATATGTGTACATGACTATCTGGCCTTTGATGAAATGTACATAATTATAGCGCCAAATTTGAATAAACAAAATATTTAAAATGAAATAAGTTACCTTCTTTGCCGAGATTATTTCGTTGCCATGCAAAGAGCCTGAAATATTTGGATCTTCGAGGTTTCGCATGGCTGCCACTGCTGCATCACGTTCCTTTTGAAGAATTTCTATCTTTCGATCATATGAATTCTTCAAATCGGTCAGAATACGCTTGAAGTCATTTGTGGCCTTCACCATTGTGCAGTAGACATTCTCTAGATTTTTCATTGCTTGACTATTATCCAATATAGCAATTGAACTAGTGTCATTTATATTGACTACGTATGTTTCGCGATCATAGGGATTAATTTGAGTTTGGTCAACCAATTCGGTTGATGTATCGAGGCTGTCATTCAATGTAGGCCATGGTTCGTCCTTTGACGCGATATTATCCTCAGCAGTTAAGAAGATATTTTCATCAACTACAGTTGCAGTCGGTGGTGGTTCCACGTTGTTATTACTGTTGTTTGGATTGTTATTACGTTTTCTTTTCGGCACCGTATCGACATCCAGATCGGTCTGATTTCGCTTTCGGCGCTTGTAGGGTGTAAATAAACGTACCGGGCCAGATGCTGTATATATATAAGATAAATATAAGATTAGAGCATTATTTAAATGTAAACATATCATTTGGTATTATTTTTTAGTATTACAATAATATTTAGAAATAGTGTTTAAAATCTAATTATTATTTGATATAAAATAATATATATCGGTTTGTTTATTGTATATTTCCAAAAATTTGGGGAAGTAAATGACACAGAAGTGTCTAAAGTGGATGGCTCCGAACACTTCGATAACAAAATATGTACATTCAACAAAATTGATTTCCAGATTGAGAGTAATCAACCTTTACTAAATTTTAACTTGATTGTTTCAAATACTATTGCGCTCTATAGAAGAACAAATTGAGCATTTCTAATGTAAATATCTAACCCCGATTTCTCTCCTAATTAAAAATTTTCTGATTTTCTCTAATCTTTTAGATTCCAAGTACTATCAAAAAAAAAAAAGATATACACACAAAAGTATGCATGTATTTATGTAAAATAATTTAGAAATACAAAAACAAATTTCGCAAGAGTTTTATCTTTGAAAGTAACAAGACCAAATGTTCGGCCACAATAACCTATTAATCGAATTTAAAGCTGAATCCAGCAGCACCAAAAATAATGCTGCTATATCCGCTATTGACATCCTAGCAAAAAATTATAGAACTTTAAAAGTTCCGCCGGAATTTGCAAAGACCAACAATGTCATTGTTGAAACCTAACCCCGAACCACTCTTGCCATTAAGTACAACTCCGTACTGAACAATTCCAAAGCCAATGATAAAATCGTTGGCGCCTTTTAACCTCTGAAACGATTTCCAGCCAAGCTCCTCCTCCAATTTGTGCTACGCATCTTATTATTTTTTGTTTCCAACAAATGGAGGGATAGATCTACCGTTTATATTTGGTGTCAGAAATACACTCGGAGGGAATGACAATCCCTTAATATAATTTTTATAACAAACGCGGTCAGGTTTAAAAACAGTCGATGAGTGAGAGGAGGTTCAAAACATATTATTTACAAAGCTACAGATGTAAATGCTGAATTCGTAAAATATATCGGTCACAATTGGATTTATGAAAGATAAAAATCTGGGTTGTTCCAGTATTAAGACCCGACTGTCGCGGAAACTATTGGATTTAAGTCGCCTCTAACGACAGTCTTGCCCTATCGCCCGTAAATTCTTGAACCCCTAACCCGCTTGGCCCTGAATTGGTGAAAATGGATACCGTTGGTACGCATGTAGCTTCTTTTTTATTTAAACTGCAATTAGTATCTACGTTCTCGACACGGGTATCTGCACTCCTGTCAATGAAATATACACAATAAAACATAAATTGTAGTGGTTTGTTAAGACATTTTTCAAATGTTATAAATAAAAGAATTTAAGAAGACCTTTTATTTCATTATAACTGAAGTTAGTAAAAATGGAAATGACATTAAGAGTTATGAAAGCTGAAGGGAAACAAAAATTAGCCATGTCTGAAGATACATATTAATTACATATATGTATACATATGAATACATTAGTCAATATATATCAAGTATACTACTTTTTGACATTCATTAAAAATAAAAATATAAAATAAAAACTTGAGTATGGAAAATAATTGCAATCCATGATCGTATAAAATTTTAATGTACTAATACTGATTTATATTGGCATATAAAAATATGGAATTTCACTCACCAGCTTCATCATCGCAGCAAACGGTGCAGCTGCAATTGGTAGCGTGTGGTGTCAAAATTCCATCATCTATTAAGGATTGCAAAGATTTGCCACCGTATTTTATGGATCTCTTCCAATCTTTGCTCGACCCACGTCCACATACATTTTCAAATTCGCTAGGCGTATACCATTTATCCTTGTATTTGACACAACGCCCACGTCCTCCAGAACCTAATTTACTACGATATAAGTCAGCGCTGGTTGTCTTACAGCGAATTGGAAATACTTCCATATGAGTTGTTTCAGCCCAATTGACTCCAGTGCCTGAACCGCAGCCCGAACCAGTACCTTGAGCCGGATGTTCACTGGTTGCAGTACTATCGTGACTGTTATTGCTGCCAGAGCCGTCATGATTAATTCCAACCCCTCCGCCTCCACCTGTAGTCTGCTGGATGACAATTGTCTTCAAATCTCCCCCCATACTGCCCACAACAGGACTGCTCGATATATATCCGTTGTCGACGCAAAGCATTTGCTTAAAATGCGGTAATTGGTCCGGTGTGATCACATTAAAGGAGGCTCCTGTGATCATAGAGCCTATTGGCAGGGATACCGGTACCGAGACCACACCCCCACTGCCACCACTATTCTCATTAGAAGTTACCATTCGCACTTTAGTATCCAGCTTTTAATTTTTCCAATTGTAAAATCGTAGAATTAGCAAACGCAGAAGCAAAAGAGAAAAAAAGAAAAAATTGTGTACACATCAATTGCGCTGTTGAAGACAGAAGGTTGTACGAAAGGGTAAGGGGTGCAAAAGCAGCGAGCGCGGGAAGGGGCTGCGCGCAAACTTGTGTTTTGTACGCCACGCCGCCAGCCCTTATAAGAATTTACCACAATTACCTGATGACCAGAACTCTCCAATATTACTTCTTCCTTTACGACATCACGGGCTTCATCATTAAGAACACCCAGGTCTTTTACATCGCGTATCCTGCCTAGATGCAGTTCAGCAGAATCGACCTGTTCCATCGTTGCACTATACTTTTTTCACACTATGTTTCACTTTTATTTGGTACTTTGCGCTTCTCACACTACTTCCCACCGATTTTTGTTCAATTTATATTAGGTTTAAACAGCAAAGTTTCTAATTCGTTAGTTTTGTAAACAATAAATCACATTTTGCTTATAAATAAAATTTTGTGGAAAATATTAACTGAACATGACATTTCTTGATAACAAAAGGTTTGTTTGATTTGTGGCCGCTCAAACAAAATTTTGACATTGGAAGACGTCTCCTTTCAAAATTCCAGTATTTGTGGAAGTTGCCATTTTCAAATTATATAAAACACGATGTTATTGATTTTTATTAGTGATAAATGTAATTTTTTTAGTTATTAACATGCATATGTTGATTTCAAATATTTGCTTCATTACTACGAGCACAGTACAATAAACGTGTTATTAAGTTGGATTTGTATCATCAAGCGTTGACTATTAATTGGCATAACAGCTCCAATTATCATAGCTTAAAATTGAATTGGGTTTTAAGGGTTAATTCGTCTTAAATTGTTATATTTTTGTTTGCGAAACGCTAATAAACTAGATATGTGTGATGTTCATAACATTTGAAATCATGATCTTGTAAAGCACATATATGCAATTAGTGATTTAGCGAAAGGCTTAAACAATTGTCCAAACATCTTTAGAAAGTATTACAACCAGATGTAACTGTTTAACAAATAATCAAAATTGGGAGTTTCAATCTCTTTGAGCATTCATTTAACATGAAATAAAGAGCATAAAAATTAATCAGAAGACCCATACATATGTTGCAAAAATATCAAGAGACCCGCCGAACTTTTTAAAAATGCGAGTATCGAATCTTCTATACATACGAGAAAACTCTGGAATTCAGTACAAGCATGCAATGAGTAATATAAGCGCCAACGTGACGCTAGTCAACTACAAACTGAGCTTGGTGGCGATAACATCGGTATAGTGTTTTTGTAAAATAATAATAACACAGCCAGTCGTTAGCTATTGAATAATAAATAAATGTTGATTGAGTTTTTTACAATTAAAAAATTGTCTCACAAATTTGGAGACTTTTATTTAACAATCCAGTGATCGAACTCGAAGGATTTGGGAAATCATACGTTCTCGAGCCTCGAGCATCACTAACAAACAAACCTTAATTTTTATATATATAAAAATAGAAATTTAGATATTTTTTTAATTTCGCGAGATATTAAAGAAAGTGAAAACGAAAATGAAAAATATTGGAAAGAAAATATATAAATTGTTTTGTTTCATTAAGACCCTTTTGTAGAGCATCTATACGCATTTGGAGGCCTTCGGTATGCTTTAAAAAAGCCCTGGTCGGAACTAGCAAAGGCTCCGCCATGCACAGTAAGAGCAATTCCTTAAAAAAATAACCCTGAGCCTATTCAAATCTTCGCTAAAGTCGGTGGTTAAGTCATAATCTCGTGTAGCCTTTTAAAGTTTTCGAAAATCTACAGTAACAAAAGGCAATTCTTGTTGTAGAGAAAACGGCGATGACGCCTTGTTTGGAAATATAATAATGTAAATATAGTTAATATCAATTTATAGTTGAATACACACAAAACAATTCATATACAAAAAAAAAACAAAATAAAATGAAATGGAATGACGGAAAAGACTCACCGTGCGAAATTAAAACCAAAAAACTTAAAGCTGAAAAGCAAAAAAGGTATGCGTGTGTGAGCTTAGTGTAAGGTGCTGCCAGCAATAGTAAAGGTGTTGCCAAACACAGCAATTAGTTACTATCGAATTGCTTATCAAAATTAAAAGTTTAGAAAGTTTATTTCTATGACAATTAGTATATTTTACAATAATGTTTTCACTGACAATAGTCAAAATCTTTGATAGCACTGAGTTAAGAAAGTTGCTATGCAGAGCGGATAGTTAGAAATTTTATATTGAAATATAAATTTCATTTCTGCAGTTATAGGATATTAAATTGCAAAAATTTGTTTTGACGCGATCTCGCGGGAAAATTTAAATTGCATTAAACCCAAAAATTTTCTTTTTGACTATTTTGTGAAATTCGTCTTCTTTTTATATTCACTATATGCCTATATTGGCCTAATAAATAACTCCGGCATGCAATACAATGTTATCAACATGCAAAGCTTCTTAACTAGCGTAGACACTACTTATTCCAAACAACCACTTGTACCACCATACACTTCGCTTCTTTATCCAACTTGGATAAGGAAGGTCTCACGTCGCGATTCATGGTGCCAATGATGCCATTATCATCGATGTCCGGCAGCTCTGCGATTTCACACTATTTCCTTGACTACACTCCGCACTATTGTAGGAGCCACACGTTAAGGAACCACCTTCTGTGAGACCCTGCTTGGATTTACCAGACCCAATCAGTTTGTTGAGGTTAGGCTTCAGTCCTTGAGTTTCAAACGTCGGACATGTTCTCATCCTACCATTTTTTGCAAAAAAGCTGATGCATGCACCTTATCAGTACTGTTCCACTATATACGAATATAACCCGGAAATTTTAATTGACAATGTAAATAGTTTTTTTTTGGTTTTTTTCATGTTTTTATTGTCATCTAGAATTAAACAATACTAATAATAACAAAATATAATTGGCGTTTTATTAACGCTGAAACGATTTTCTATCGAGCACCCACCGCCTAATTCAAGTCCGAAATATACTCGGAGGTCTTGAGACTCACTGCCGACGGGCGACCGTTCTTCTTTTTCTCCTTTTTCATTGGCGATTCGATTATTCTCTTCACTGTTTTGCGCCCATTGGAAATACCAAGTGTAACCAAATCGCTCTCCACCTGATTCTTTGAATGGAGTGGAGGTCTTCCTCTTCTTCTGCTTCCACCGGCGGGTACTGCATCGAATATTTTCAAAGCTGGCCTAGCTCCTAATCAGCGTTGCCGCCATATCTTCATTTGCTTCACTATATATGTCTATTAATGTCACCGTATAATTCGTACTGCCGTCAATGTAAATATCTTAATTTGGCATTTTCGAAACAATATTATGAACGCCACATTAATTCGAATTCAAAATACATAAAATATGCTTGTCTTTTGCCAGTCAATTATAGCAGAGAACTTATATCAAGAGTATAAGGAGTAACGAAACTATCAGGTTTTTTCTCACGACCAGCTAACAGCTGATCAAGGTTCCTAAGAGTTGAATTTAGATTTTGACAGCCAGTACGGTGGAATTTCTTACCGCACAAGGTCGCTTAGATGTTTTGGTTAATTTGTTTAAAAAAAGTTATTTCTTCGAAAATGTCCACTTAATTAATATGTCATATATTTTCGATTGAAAATATTATTTTATAGATACATACTTAGGTATCATACTGATGTAATTATATTTGCAATTTTTTTATTCTGATTTTTTGGGAATGCTTTCTGGGAATTGTGTTTTAGAACATTGATGAAATGCCAAATATGAAATGATGAATGAACAAACAATTCGTTGTTACTTGTTTTAATAAAAAATAATTATTTACTTTCACTTTTGAATAGGTATTTGAATGTTTTAGTATTTCTCATTTAACTATTCATTAAAAAGGTCAAAACAGATTGTATTATTTTTTATTATTTCATACAAATGCATTGACTCCATACTCCATGAAAGGGGAAGGAAAAGGTTTTAATGAATATTTAAATTAATAAAAGAAATGAAGGAAAATATCAATTCAATTTAGTAAATTTCATATTTATGCTTTAGCCATTACTCTAGTGTAATTTTTTTACATAGTACTCATCTTTAAAGGGCTTAATATGAAAAGTACTAATTGAAAATTTTCCATATATAGGAATGGAAACAAATAGCTAAGAAAATTAGACTTACATTTTTAAAAAATTTTAGTTCTTGACAACATATATTAGTACTAAAGGGAAAAATAGTATTAGATGAGCGTCATTCATATTTGCAACCCCTTGTAAGTAAATCTTATTTGACCATACTCTGCGACACCAGCGACATCTCTTTTGCGCGTACACCTGGGGATTGAAGAATTTATACCAAATGTACAAAAAAAAAACGAGTTTCCATACCTTTCGTACTCTGCTTATGTCAATTTTTCAATTTTTTGACATTCTCTTCAATTGTTAATATGAGAATACTCTATCTTGGCGAGATTTTCAACTTGTAAAAAATGGATTTAAGTAAAAAGTTATCTGAGCAGGGCTGGTAAGTAATAAATATTAAAAAATGGTGTAAAAATTATGTTCATGGTTTTTTTTCCACAAAAAGGCATTTAACTGATGATGGCATAAAAAAAATTACTGCTGCAGCCTCCAATGCAAGTGGGATTGATGTCAATGATGTGCGGAAAATTATACCAATCATTACGGACGTAAGTAAAATTGATTTCTTATTACTGTCATTTTGGCAATTTCATTTTAATTCAAATAGATGGATTTCCGTGAGATAGCGGGGGGTGCTCTTCCAACTAAAAGAGATGATAATATTCCTGGTCGAATTGTTCTACAGTTACAAAAGACAAGAAATATTTCAGCACCTAAATCAAATGAAGACTCAAAGGCTGCTCCGCGATTCTTGCAATTAGAATTGACAGATGGACAGACCACAATCAATGCTTTGGAATTGGAAAACGTTTCGGTTTTAAATATGAATTTACCACCGGGAACAAAAATTTATTTTCGCAGCGAGCGACTTCAATTAATGCAAGGTTTTTTAATTTTACGGTCATCTGAAATACAAGTTTTAGGAGGGCGTGTTGAGCCGTTGGTTGAAAAATGGGAATTAGCTCGCACTATGTTAAAATATGCCCGAAGTGGGCGCAGAATGAGTGGAGCCAGTGGACCACCACCATGGATACCTTTTGGAACAAAAGTTGAGGCATCTATTTCAAATGATCGAAACTTTAAAAGTCTACAAGCAGCAGGTGCCGATGGAAAAGAAACAAAGGAAAACGAAGAATTCAATGCTATGCGTAGCGAAGCTATTGCAGAAGCTAGCAAAGCGGGAGCGAAAAAGGTATTTCAACACAAATATATATATATTTTTGTAATGTACTTTACAATAGATTGGCTAGCTGCCAATTGCTTTATAATTATATTTAAGATATTTAAAATTCAGTTTAATATTTGTACAAATCAAATAGGTCTTTGGAGGGGGTGGTCAACAAATGCTGGATCACAACGTTAAAAAGATATTAGAGAAAGGTTTCAGCGAAGAAGATGCCAAACAAGCTTTACGCACTACAAATAATAATCTGGAGCGAGCACTATACAATCTAAAACGTCGTGGTGAAATGAGACGATCAGAAGATATCACAAATGCTAAAAACAATCCAGCTAGCTCTTTTATGTCAGCAAAAACTGGTCGAGGTGGGCCAATGCGAGAAATAAGTACGGGGAAACGTGGCGTACCAGCCGCAAAGGAAGAAGCTCTAGCTGCAAAACCCGCTGGCAACGTTTCTTTGTTTGACTTTTTAACCGATAAATTGCCAGTGGATGCAGTATCGAATGTTAACTCTAATATTAATAAAGACACTGCTATTGCAACACCTACGCCGAATATTACTTCTAATACATTAAAATTAAAAAAGAGTGATAAAATCAAGAAAGAAGTTAATAAAAACATAAAAGTTGAAAATACAACACCCACTGAAAGCATCACCGACTCTAATGCTAACTCTAATCGCCCAAGATTTGAAAACACTATGTCAAGCAGCTTTGCGGCGAACCGATCATTTGGGTCTCAAACCAATGGACCACTAAGAAGTGAGAGAGGCGGTGCCAGTAGTCGCGGTGGACGCACTAGTAATGAACGCGGCAGAAGTTCAGTTTCATTTAATCCATTTAGAGATAACGATCGTGCCGGTCACTCTCTAAGTGGTAATCAAAATCAAGCTCGTAATAACCGCGGATCCTATGAACGTGGAAAGAACACAAATTCATTGGGCGGAGATTTACATGACGGTGGAAACAGTAGTTATGCAGGCAAGCGTTCAAATGAAAGGCAACAACAGCCAAGGAATCACGGCGCCGATGAGCGTGGAGTTGGACAGAATGAAGGTAGACAGCGTTATAATAATAAGCGGGAAGGCAGTAGCCAACTTCAAAATAGCAGTAGCGTATCAACTAAAAACGGTACACCACAAAACTCGAACGCCAACGTCTCTACTCAAATGAATAAATTAATTGAAGACACTTCCAAGTTGAAGATTGCAGACTCCAAACGTAGCCCCAGAGCAGGCAGAAGTACAAGTGGAGAAAGCCGCTCCAACACGCAATATTCTCAAAATTATGACCCTAATCAAGTTCAAAACGCTTCACAATTGAACAACGGATATTCTTACGATACAAGTAAGATAATCGGTTTTCAAAATAAGGAAACGAATGAATTTGCTATGACTTTGCTAAAGAGTCAGGGATTAGGTTCTTCAACATCAAAGCTTGGTACACAACCGCAACAACAATCACCATCTCCAAAAGTAAATAGTCAAAGCAAGCAAGTGAATGATAACTATATGTCATCAGTGTTACCGCACACACGAAATGCACAAATGAGTGGCTATGCTTCACATCCAAGTGACTACTCTACATCCAACCCGAATGTACCCACCGTCGTACCAGTTCCGAGTCATTTTGGTATGGTGCAAGGTGATGGTTGGCATTGGAAAGTTGGAGATCTCTGTTTTGCTAAATATTGGGATGACGGTCGGGTAAGTTTTTCGATTAATTAACATACGTACATACATATGAAATCGGTAGCACTGAATGGTTGTAAATTTAATAAAACCATAGATTTCACTATAATCTCGGTAAACTTCATACCCTTTCCGGTTAGTTTAATTCAATTTTTGTAAATCAAAACATTTTTTTTACTTTGCCTCGGTATGAACAAAAAATACCAATGTTTTCGTCAAAAAGTTTTCTCCTTCCTTAAATTAAAATAGTCGTGATTCACTGGAAGACAAATCCAGTTTCAATTGTAGTCATCCTACTGTTTTTATCGAACGCATTTTACTTAATGGTATTTTTAAATTTAAATTCTAGTATTACGAGGCTGAGGTTACAGCTGTGTCAGACAAAACTTGTGTGGTGTTCTACCTTGGATATGGAAATCACGAGGAAGTTTTAAAATCAGATTGTCTGCCAATAACCGACGGTAATCATTGTCCTGTAAACAACTACAATGCTGCCATGCCATATTCACAGCCACAACAAGGAAAATCAAATATGGTTGGACCAATGCTTCCACCTCAACAGTTGCAACAGAGTGCATATCAGCGAGGAGGAGGTGGAGCGCAGCGTTTCCGGGGTGAAAGACAAATGTATGTCCCACCACATAAAAGAGAAAATTGACAGCATATTCATTATCAAGCCGCAAGAGCAAAAGTTCTACAGTCGCAGCAAAATCAACTTTGGTAATTGATATCATCTTGAAAAAAGAAATAAAATTCATTATTATAATGTAACGCTAGTTCTTTTGGAAAGTTCTTTAATAATATGTATATGTAGCGTTTCAACTTTAAATTTCGGAGTAAAACTTGACTAATACCAAAAGTACATGTTTGGCTTAAGATATTATGGAATTCTAACCTTTATGCATGTATGAATGTAAATAAAAGCGCACCCTTTTGAACCAAATTATTAAGTATTATACTAGAATAATTGATGTTCGTAAATAAAGTTTTGTGGCGAAAATGAGGTGTTTTTTATTTTTATAACTCCCGTGTACACTATGTATGATAAAGCTGCGTTTCGTGGTCCTACATACGAATAAAGCTCTGAAAAAATATCGTTTGGCAACACACAAATTTGGGGTGTAATGGGGGTGTAGTCAAGCTTCTGCTTATACTGTTACAGCTGCGAGGCTATACTCAATTCCTACTCTTGCGTCCACGTCGCGCGCCCTGGAAGCGTGAGCAACCCATGTGCAAGATGCGGTAACCAACTCGTGTGGAGCCTTGAGTGACGGCTAATGAGAGAGCAAGTTTCAATGGAGACACTCCGACTTATACGGTTTAAGGGTCTGCTGAAGTCTAATTGCAGGTGCGGCTCCCTCTATAAATGTGTAAAAAACTTTAAACCAGCTCCAATGAAAAATTATACAACGCCTCGGATGAGATACCCCATTTCTGTTAACGAGCCCCGCCAAGGAATTAAAGATCACAATTTGAGGGCATGCACCTGAAATGTCTGTTCTCTTAATTGGGAAGGTGCCGCTGCATAGCTGGTTGATGTCCTCGTAAGAATAAATGCTGACATCACCGCCATCCAAGAAGTGCGATGGATGGGACAAGGACGAAAGCGAGTAAGTTCTTGTGACATTTACTACAGCGGCTATATAAAGGAGCACAAATTTTGTGCTGGATTTGTGGTGGGAAAGAGACTCCGTCGTCGAGTACTGGCTTCCACCCTGGTGGATGAGTGTCTCGCCACAATCCGCATCAAAGCGGAATTTTCCAACATATTGATTTGCGCCCAAGCCCCGACGGAAGAGAAGGACGATTTGGCCAAAGATGCTTTTTATGAGCACCCAGAGCATACTTACGAGCGCTGCCCCCGACACGGCGTGAAAATCGTGTTTGGTGATTTTACGTACAGCTGCAAACGAAACTATTGGATTTCGTAAAGATCGCAAAAAACAGCTGGTCCGTGTCGCAGTGGAGAGAAAATAGACAGTCTACCTCGCAACCTCGCGAACGACCACAACACGTGCGTGTTGGGATAGATACCAAGAGATGAAGAAGGAAGCAAGACGCATCTGCTGACGAAAATAGAGAGATGCCGAGATGCGTGAGTATGAAGAGCTTGAGAAGCTGACCGAAGGGTTATGCTCGAAAATTATACGAGAAGATACGACGACTTACAGAAGGTTTCAAGACCGGAGCAGACTCTCGTAGGACAAAAAGAGGTGATCTAGCCACCGATGCAGACAGTATACTGAACTTATGGAGGGAACACTTCTCCAACCTGCTGAATAGTAGTGAAAATGGATAATCCGGAGATGGGGAACCCGAAACCCCAATCGATGACGATGAAAAAGACATTACGTTACCTGACCATGAAGAAGTTCGAATAGCAATCGCTTGCAAAAGGTGGACTTAAGTCTTTCACGCCATAAACTCGATAAGACCTTATATGCGATATGAAGGAGGTTTATCCCACGGTAACTGACGCAGACTGTCGGATCGCTCTCTTTGGCAGAGCGTTTGAGCGTATTTAGACATCTCTCTTTTTCCTCTGGCATCCAGATACATTTCCCACACGAGACGCCATGTAGTAGATTGGAACTTTGCGAGACCAGACGTTTCTTGATATCGAGCTGTTGACGAGTGGCCTAAGGTAGCAGTAGAGCAAATCGCTTTTCTCTTTTTTTCGCTCTAAAAAATTGGGGCTTGTCATCCGGACTGAAGATATTCTTAAAATACATTGGGGTAGCTCTAGTTGTGACGCTTAACTTTCTAAAGGTTTTATTAGATTTAATGCTAAAATCTCCAAGTACAATTATGACATCGTAGCGCAGCAACGCTCTTAATTGCTGCACCACCTTTTTACAACTCATCATTTCACAACTTAAAGATTTTATATTGCATAGGGCCCAAAGTTTGCGCTAAAACAGTATTTTTATATTTGAAGAAGTCTATGGCGAGAGTGGTGTGACTTGAAAGTCGGGGTTCCAGTTATGGTCCAACCAATATCTAAAATTATAGAAGACCAATTTTTCTAATAGCTCAGGGAATGTTGAGCATCCCGAGTGTTTTCTGACTTGGAATAAATCTTAATCCTAATAAAAATCTCTCGGTCCGCAGTAGGAGTCTTAAAAATTTTAAAGTTTACGATTATCTGTTGACGCCATCTTGTATTTTGATAACTGCTTTAACAATAACTTTTCCAAATATTTCAACCGAATCGATTTAAATTTTTTTTTATTGTGTCGTGTCGTCTTCTAAGTGCTTACTTCCTAGTGAATGTAGACTCAAGTAAACAAACAAGAATAGGACAACAATACTCACATGAATAGCATTGCCAGCACAAAGTAGGGCAAATGGAAATTACTCAATTTCACATTCTCTGTATAAATGCTACAAAAGTCAACTTTGAGATCATTCGTGTTTTAACTTTTGAGTGAATTAAATCATATTGGAAAGAAATTTATACAAATATTGGTATATTGACATATTTAAAAATTTCGTTACCATTCAGCCAAATATACATACATATATTGAATGTTCTTTAGTAAGATTGAAGTACACATCAATATTATAGCGTTATTGTTAAAAGTGAAGAAAGGTTGTGAAAGTGCCACAACAATCGACTGACGAAAGAGCCAGAAAAAGCAAGGCGATATAGTGAATCATATTAATTACAAAGTTACAAAAGTAAAAAAGGCGAATCTCTAACGAATAAATAATTCTAAAAAACCTGTGCCACCGCTCCGTGTGGAGTTTTTGGGCATAAGTGTAAACAATTGACTAATATCGAAGACGAAAAATAATTTTCGTAGTTTTGGCAAACATATATATATATATTAAATTTAAAAATGAATCTATCATTTGCTGGTTGTGGATTCTTGGGTATTTATCATGTGGGCGTGGCAGTATGTTTTAAGAAATATGCACCACATCTGCTGCTGGAGAAGATTGGAGGCGCATCTGCGGGATCTCTTGCTGCTTGTTGTCTTCTTTGCGATTTGCCGTTAGGTAAGTGTAAAAGAGAATTGTTGTATGCAAATTCTGATATATTCGGTAATAAGTTTATTATAATGGGACAATAATTTATATGCAATGAAAGATTAGTTTAGTTTTAAAAGTAAAAAAGCTGTATTCGAGTGATGTTCTTATTATAAACACTTAAATATTCCCATTATATTAATAAATACATATTTATGTATGTACATCTATACATACGTATAAAAATTAGCATTCATATAATATATTTAGGCACAAATTACCTCAATCTTTACAAAATTGCTAGCATTTTGAACTACAAACGCAATGATCGATATTAGATGCTATAAAAATGGTTGTTTATTTGTATATACAGTCAAGAATAGTTTTCCTTTGCCAAAAATCGTATGTACCCAGTAAGCAAAAATTATAAGAGAGCCACTTTTCGTTAGGGAATCGGTTGTTACTAGGTTTCTCAATCTGTTGGTGATACATCAATATATGTACATCCGAGTGTATTTCTGACATCAAATAAAGGGATCCTCTTAAAAAACACCTTAAATTAGAGTGTCAACGTTTAATTGCAAATATCTTTATTAAATCCATTTAAAATAAAATAAAATCAGAATTATATGCTTACCTAATTTTTTGAAAATTTTTATATAATGTTAGATTTTACACATTAACTTTGTAATATATCGAAATTAATATTGTATAAATTCACTTTAAGCTTACGATGTTTTGCTTGAAAATAATCGAAACAACATAATTTGATTAATAAGAGCATATATAATACACATATGTATATTATACATACATATTATACACTGCTTACAAACATTCTTTTGTTATTGTGATTAGAATTTCACTCGGACGGCCTTGAATAAATATTTAAAGAAATTTCATTGACATTTAATAAATAAAATCTAAAGAACTTCATAAACAAGGCATTTTCATATCTACTATAGTAAGTACGCGTACATATGTACATACATACAGGGTGCACTATCTAGACCTTCGGCATTTCAACATTGAATAACTCTACCGGTTTTTAGCCGATTTTGACAAATGTGCATGATTCTGAAATGTCATTCAGTGCCATTTCAACCTCGGACCAATACACAACGAAAAAAAGGTTCAGTGCGTGCTTATCGTTTGAAGCTTAGTTCATGGAAAAGGGTGATTTGAAGTGGCAGCTTCGGCAAAGACAGGTCAAAGGCAATTGATGAACCAAAAGGTAACATACGGGCCGAAATAGCTTCTATAACGCCTGAAATGCTGGCCGATGTTACGTAGAATGCTCGAACAAGCTGCTTTTGTGTATCGAATGAAGATGTCCATTCAATCGACGTTGTGTTCTGAAACTGATTCGAAATAAAATAGCAAAGTATATCGTAAATAAATCTTCTGTTTCTTGTAAAAATCGGCTGAAAAGTATCAGAGTTGATCAATGTAAAATACCGAAGGTCTAGATAGAGCCCCTGTATGTACATACATACATATATACTTACGCATACTGAGTTGTATACATATATGCATGTTTATGTACATTAGTCACAATTTGCAAAGAGTTTCTTATAACTTTTTGTCCCAACACTTATTTTGTAGCATACATATTTATAAATATATATTTATAAATGTACTCGTTGTTATCTACATAAAAGGCACAATAAAAAACCTTCAAACTACCTAATAGGAAAACTAAACCAAGTAACCACCTGGCGTATGTTCATATATGTAGATATAGATGCATACATACATACATATATGAAAGTATTTAATATGTGTTTTACAAACATATAGACTATGTACATATATTTTGTATATAATTTTATTTCTCAGTATAATTTATCATTAGATTGTATTGATATTATTTTATGTATGTATGTGTGTATACATTAGCTGTTTTTTTTGTTTTTGCTAAAGTCAGTTTAGATCCTCATTCTTCAGCAACGGTATACTTTTATTATAGAATGAGTAAAATTTTCTAAAATATGGATGAAATACAACCATGTGTGCTGCAAACTACCTCAAGCGGTTTTACTCCATACTGTTATATATAAATAAGCTAATTTCCTTTCTTTCAGTATTTTGTCATTGCTATTTTTATTTATTTTATTTTCTTAAATGACTATAGAAATTATTGTGGACATAAGAGAACTAGTTTTAAATTATTATTTAGTTGTTGTTGTTGTTGTTGTTGTTGTAGCCGCGAAATTATTCCCCAAAGTAGTTTTCGGGGAATATTGCGGGAGTGACAGTCCTTGGCCGGATAAAAATCCGGGTCGTTCCGGTATAAAGACCCGACTGTCGCGGGAACTATTGGATTTTAGTCGCCTCTTACGACAGGCATGCCTTACCGCGGGTAAATTCTTAAGCCCCTAACCCGCAGGGGGTATTATTATTTAGTCAAATCTCTTAGTGAGATAGGAAAATAACTTGGACGTCCAAAGTCCATTGTTCGAACAATAATTAGGAATTATAATCTAAGACCGTCTTCAGGGAAATCCTTGCATTTCGGCTATAGAATAGGATCTTATTTCAAGAGGTTAAACACAAAATAGTTTTTTTTTTTATGAAAACCAGATTAAACGCTGCACTGCGGAGCCAAAGTGGATCCAGTAAATATTGATATAAATACTTATTACTTTTTGCTGTTACAAAAAAAAAATACTTTTTCACCCTTAATTGGAATTTGTGTGGTATGAGTGTGGAAATTGGCTTAGTGATGATTTTTATAAAAAAAATGAAGTATTTTTTCTTGACTTAGTCTTATTATTATTATTTCGGAAAATGTCTAGTATGCGATAAACACAAATTATACTTGGGCTATATTGAGCTTTGAGTTTGATATTTACCTATTCGCAACGATTCCGCATCCCCGCCCGTTACGGTGGGTGGCTACTGATATAACAATCGATGTTGTATGGTATTGTTACCGTTCTTTGTTCATATGTTTAGTCAATACAATTTATTTGTGTTTTTATTGTTTTATTACCAAATATAAAATTTCAAAGCGCACATAAGGGAAATTGTAAAATGAGACAAAATTTATATTTCTTATAATTAGTTATACATGCACTTATATATGTATATGTATTTGGGTATAAAGTTCAATTTATATATGTATGTATATGTACAATGTGAACTGATAATTGTAGAGTGAATAATGTCGCTCTCTTTGATCTCTAACTTCCATATTTGCAGCTGTGGCTTACATAAAAAATACGTTTTACTGTCTGCCTTGAACGTTTAGTTGTCATTGTGGATTTTAAATTATCCTTAGACATTCTTATATACATATGTATGCATTGTATAGGCATACGAATGTGCATAGAATAATATTAGAAGTTTTTTATAAGTTCTTTCTTACCTAAAAAAAATTTGGCTGAAAGTCGTCTAAGAAATTTTCGCTAATAACCATATGTATATGTATGTATGTATGTATGTACTACATACCGCCGTATACAGTGTATGATTGCCCTAATTTGAGCATATTTACATATGCACATATGTAAATAAATAGATATTTGCACAAATTGATATGTATATCTACATACACATGACTTAAGTATATGTATTTACATACACGTATGTACGTATGTGCTTACATATTATATTTTTTAATTTGAATGACAAATGTTTAGTTAAATCAGAATTTTCTTATAAGAATACCATTGTATTAGTAGGTTAGATTGATAATATTCAAAGTGCATCACATCAAATAAATCAATTATAAAACAAAGAAATAATTAAGTGGATTCATACGCAGCTGGCAATAAAAATAATTATGTAAGAATAAAGGAAAAAGTAAATACAAGCATATTCAAGCAGTACTGCGATAAATAAAAAGATTGCACTGAATTTGTGTATGTATGTATGTACCCTGTGAATAATGCGAGTACTCCATCCTCGCGTGAAATATTTACATACATATAAATATACTCTACGCAGACAATAGAGTAATTAAAAATTAATCACAATCCATACAAAAATTTTGGTCTAATTAACATTTGGATGTTCTAGGGCTGGATCAAGTTCACCACCTCTTAATAACAACCAAGTAAACCGAGTACGCCCTAGAGTACATAAATGAGGTGCGATAGTTAAGTAATGAGACTGATTATATTGCCGCGATTGTGGTGATCTTGCGACCTTGAAATCCGCTTTCTCTTCTCCCGGAAACCTTCTCATCCCGCTCTAGCTTTCTTTAGTTCGCGGGCTGTGGCGTGTTGAGTAAACGTGTGTTCATGGTGTTCGTTACGAAAATGGAAAAACGTAATCGCGTTAAAATTTTGCGCAAAATTGGGCGAAATAACTTCGGAAAAGTGCTCTTAGTCGTGCCCCGGTGTTTCGATTGCATAAAGAGTTTAAGAAGGGGCGTGGAAGTCGAGGCACAGAGCGGGAGACAAGTCAAGGTGCGGCCTGATACGAATGTGCAGCGTGTGCGCACTCTAATCAGTGGAGCAAACCGTAAATCAAGTCTGCTATCGCCAAGTACTCGAAAGATTGCGAAAACAAGTCAACAAGATGCGTCCAGCCATCGCTTTTAACTGGATCTTTCATCACAACAAGAGTAATCGCGGACATCCCAGTCGAAGCGTTCCAGAAATATTACGAAGCATGAAAAACACGCTGGAATCGTTGTACAGCTGCCCAAGGGGACTACTTTGAAGGGGATGGCAGATTTATAAAGTAATTTTGAAATTTACGGTTTTTATGGAGTCAGTCTCATTACATAAATGTCACACCTCGTAGGTTACATTATGGAGTATCTAAGAAAAATTACATTCGAACAAGTTGATAGCGAAACTTGATTTGACCCAATAGCACACTACAGAGGAGCAGCTGTGGGATTACTCCAATGGATAATGCGGTCCACAAATGCTTGCAGGGTACAACTGAAGTAACCGCTTTAAAGATGGTAAATTCACTTTTATATTTTTCGAAAGATTAATCGGTTTTTGTAAAGAAGAAATAATATTTTTTTTTACTGAATTCATTACACATACTTATATGTATGTTTATATATG